CTCAGCCTTCCATCCTTCCGAGGTGGGTAAAATGAGGACCCGGATTGTTGGGGGCAATATGCTGACTCTCTGTAAACCGCTTAGAGAGGCCTGAAAGGCCTATGAAGCGGTATATAAGTCTACTGCTATTCCTATTGCTATTAACTACATGTCAGAGTTTTGGCAGCGTGGCTATTATTATGAGATAAACCCAGGAGCAAAACACAGCACACAGAGCCTTCATACAATCAATAGTGGTTTATATACAACTATATACAGACATATACGTGGAGATAAATCCCTCACCACTCAGTTACAGACACAAGGAGAGAAATGAGATACACGATGAGAGAGAGAAACACCCTCTAATGACCACCTATATATAGACACCTCTTAAAAGGGTAAATGACTTGTGTGGACCCTACCAGAGAATTAAAGAGGTGATGTCTGTATTGCTGAATCATCCTCATTGCATCAGATTACAGTTTACAGCTTACAACCTTACATCAGCTGGCAGCTATTAAATCCTCATTACCTGACACTACATTTATTTGTTAATCTACTAGTTCACCCTTTGAAACAAATCTAAAATAAAAAAAACCTATAAGTACTATCTGTATACATAATCTAAAGAACCATCATGTTTCAAGCAAATGATTCCTTTTACTTTTCTGCAAATTTGGTTTCCTTCCATGTACAGTATGGCTAAAACTGATTTTAACTGCACTCAAAAGCACGTCAAAGGCACCTCTGATCAAGATTAATGGCTCTGGCCATGTGGTTGTCTCAGCAGCAGGAGAGAAGTAAAAGCAGTTTGCTAGAATATTTTTTCAGCTCCCCAATCTTGTCTATGACTTTGGGTTTTCTGATCCAGCCCTGCTTGAGATCAATCAAGGTCAATGAGGTACTAACACATTATAAAGTTAGAGCAGGAAGGCAAATCCACACTGCGACCTAAGACGCTTGCTTGCCTCTCTACATGCTGTTTCTTTTTTTGAAGTAAATGCCAGAACTGAGCCAAGGTGGCGCAGTGGTTAAATGCAGCACTGCAGGCTACTGCTAGATCAGCAGGTCA